TCTCATTTATGTTTTCTTCAGACTGTTGTATCGGATTCCATACTTTGTAGACCTATAGCAGATTCTGTAGTAGCTCATGACTTGTGACACCCCGGTTTGGGCTGTGTCGAGATGGTTTCCACTGTTGTTATCGTTAAAGTTTTTGCAACCTATGGATATTATATTATGTTTATTACTGTTTATGATAATTAACTGCTTAAAGAGGTGTCCAGTTTTTGTCTGGCTGGCCTTGTCTTCACGAGAGGCGCCATCACGACTTGGTTCGGGAATTGGGTCGTGACACATGCTGTTTAATACTTTTGATTAACATAGTATGCTGGTCAGTCCAAGGCTGCCTATGATCCTTTTTCATCCTGTCATACAGAGGGGCTAGATCACGAGATAAACTTTTGTAGAAAGGAGATATATAATTCAAACTTCCCAAAAATCTTTGTAATTGAGTCTTGTCAGTAATAACATCAAGACATTTTGAAGCAAAATCAATCGATCTTCGTATCGGGGTAATTTTTCCTTGGCAAATATTATGGCTTAAAAATCGAACATTATTTTGGAATAGACTCATTTTTTGTTTAGAAATAACTAAGCCGTTTTGTATTATAATTTTCTTAAAAATATCAAGATGCTTAATATGCATCTCTAATGTTTTAGAAAATACTAATATGTCATCAATATAAACGATGATAAAATCTAGATAAGGGTTAAAAATATCATTCATAATTTTCTGAAATTCAGAAGGGGCATTTTTTAAACCAAAAGGCATGACATTCCATTCATATTGACCAAATGGAACATTAAAAGCAGTTCTATAAGTATGCTCTTTAAAAATTTAAATTTGCCAATATCCAAATTTTAAATCGAATTTTGAAAATATATTGGCGTCATATAATCTAGATAGCAGATCTCTTTTATTGGGGATAGGATATCTAATCCATTTCAGATGTTTATTCAAAGGTTTATAATTTATAACTAATCTAGGAATACCACGTTCCTTTTCCGCAACATTATTAACATAAAAGGCAGAACATGACCAAGGAGATTTTGAGGGTTTTATCAAACCCTTTTGTAACAAATTATCAATTTCATTTTTGCAGAATTCGAGCAATTCAGAATTCATCTAGCAAGGTCGAGATTTAGTGGGGATATCATCCTCGGAGAAGTTTTCTTCGTAAGGAAGAGTTACAATATGCCTTTTTCGGTTCAAAAAGGCACTAGGGTGATCGGCGCAAACATCAACATCCATCTGTTCAGCAATCAATTTAATCTTTTGCTGAACCTTAACAGATTGTAAAGTATAGAATATATTGATGCTCAATATTTCTAATTGTAATGAATCAACATGCCTTTGTTTCATATTAATCAAGTCGTTAATATCTCTAGTTACGGGATCTGTAACAAAAGAATAACTTATCTCTTTATCTTGATAAGTAGCAGAAAAACCTTGTGCATTTATGTTATTAAATGGGTAAATAGCATTAATAAAAGGTGTTCCAAGTATAATCGGAGGGTATAACTGATTTTTTACCAAAAAGAAGAAACGAGGAATACAAACTCTATTTTGGCAAATACGAGTATTTGGTAATTTATACTCTATATCTAAAGCATGACCAAAAGCAGATTTTACCAAATGAGTGGTCTTTTGAAAATATTTAGTAAGAACAAGACCCTCTTGAATACAACTTACATCTGCTAAACTATCAATCATTGCTACATCAGTTAGAGAGAAACTATTATCAATCAAGATAGTACATTTAATGTACCATTTATGAGCCGTAACAACCTGCATCATTCCTAAAAACATATCAGAATTTTCATTAATCGAATCATTCTTATCAGAAATTTATTTTCCCTTTTCATTTGAAAATTCGACAAATTCCTATAGCCGAAAAATCAGTTGGAAAATCAGTTAGAGAATTATTTTTCTCAATTTGAGTAATCCGGTGATCACAAATCATTTGATTTTGTTTAAGAGACTTAATATCCCTTTTCAAATTTTTAATTTCGATTTTCAAATCATCAAACGAAGTATCTCTGCTTGGCGTATTTGTCTTATGAAGACGTTTATTAACTTCAGACAAAGAATATGGCGCAAAATATTCAAATTCGTTTTGTGGTCTTTCAAAAAGCTTTGAAACACTAGAACTAGAACTTTCAGTCAAATTTATAATTTTTTTATGAATTTTTTCATCAGTAATTTCCTTTAAAAGTTCTATTAAATTGTCAGATGTAATAGTTTTTATATTCAAATGTTGAAATTGTGATTTCAATTTATAAAACTCATCATCATCGCAAGTGCAAATATTACCTTTACAAGCGGTGCAAGTATTATCCAAATCATTACTACTTTCAGATCAATCTCAGCTTCGGACTCAGTCTCAGAACAAGTATAATCAGAATCTGATCCGGAAGTGTATAACAAGTTATAAACTTTGTCATGTAACACATCGTCTAGTTCTAAGGCCTTTAGCTTTTGAAGTTTGCAATTTGGAGCGATATGCCCAAAATTTTCACACTTATAACACTTAATATCAGCGAGATCTCTCTTTGATATATTCTTCGTAAATCGAGTAGATTTGCGATGCGCTTTTCTAGTATCACACTCTTCCTTAAATCTATTTCTAGATCTCTTTTTCTTATACGGGCTATCAGGGTTAGGATACCTATGATATCTATTTTTCTTCTTCTTCTTAGTTTGAGTAGAGGTTCCGGGTAAACCGAACTGTTTATAGAAGTCACCTAATTGGGATTTCTCTTTAAGATTATCAATCATAAGCTGTCTAGAAAGCTTCAGCTCATTACACAAGTTTAATCCTTCTTGTGTACACACTCCTATAAGTTTACCATAGGTATAATTTCCGTACGGATTTTCCCCGTAGCTACCTCTTAACGCTTTTCTTACTCTTTCAGCGAATAAGGAGGGAAGACCGTCTATAAACTTAGATTTCCAATGTTCATACTTGTTTTCGGGTAGCTCCATAACCCTACTCATAAAAGTATCTTTGTACCATCTAAATTCACTAAGGGTCCTACATCTTTATACCAAATTAGCATTCATCAAGCAAGGTCGAGATTTAGTTGTGATATCATCCTCGGAGAAGCTTTCTTCGTAAGGAAGAGTTACAATATGCCTTTTTCGGTTCAAAAAGGCACTAGGGTGATCGGCGCAAACATCAACAGCCATCTGTTCAGCAATCAATTTAATCTTTTGCTGAACCTTAGCAGATTGTAAAGTATCGAATATATTCATTCTCAATATTTCTAATTGTAATGAATCAACATGCCTTTGTTTCATATTAATCAAGGCGTTAATATCTCTAGTTACGGGATCTGTAACAAAAGAACAACTTATCTCTTTATCTTGATAAGTAGCAGAAAAACCCTGTGCATCTATGTTATTAAAATGGTAAATAGCATTAATAAAAGGGGTTCCAAGTATAATCAGAGGGTATAACTGATTTTTTACCAAAAAGAAGAAATGAGGAATACAAACTCTATTTTGGCAAATACAAGTATTTGGTAATTTATACTCTATATCTAAAACATGACCAAAAGCAGATTTTACCGAATGAGTGGTCTTTTGAAAATATTTAGTAAGAACAAGACCCTCTTGAATACAACTTACATCTGCTAAACTATCAATCATTGCTACATCAGTTAGAGAGAAACTATTATCAATCAAGATAGTACATTTAATGTACCACTTATGAGCCGTAACAACCTGCATCATTCCTAAAAACATATCAGAATTTTCATTAATCGAATCATTCTTATTAGAAATTTCTTTTCCCTTTTCATTTGAAAATTCGAAAATTCCTTTAGCCGAAAAATCAGTTGGAAAATCAGTTAGAGAATTATTTTTCTCAATTTGAGTAATCCGGTGATCACAAATCATTTGATTTTGTTTAAGAGACTTAATATCTCTTTTCAAATTTTCAATTTCGATTTTCAAATCATCAAACGAAGTATCTCTGCTTGGTGTATTTGTCTTATGAAGACGTTTATTAACTTCAGACAAAGAATATGGCGCAAAATATTCAAATTCGTTTTGTGGTCTTTCAAAAAACTTTGAACCACTAGAACTAGAACTTTCAGTCAAATTTATAATTTTTTTATGAATTTTTCATCTGTAATTTCCTTTAAAAGTTCTATTAAATTGTCAGATGTAATAGTTTTTGTATTCAAATCTTGAAATTGTGATTTCAATTTATAAAACTCATCATCATCGCAAGTGCAAATATTACCTTTACAAGCGGTGCAAGTATTATCCAAATCTTTACTACTTTCATATAAATCTATCAGATCAATCTCGCTTCGGACTCAGTCTCAGAACAAGTATAATCAGAATCTGATCCGGAAGTGTATAACAAGTTATAAACTTTGTCATGTAACACATCGTCTAGTTCTAAGGCCTTTAGCTTTTGAAGCTTGCAATTTGGAGCGATATGCCCAAATTTTTCACACTTATAACACTTAATACCAGCAAAATCTCTCTTTGATCTATTCTTCGTAAATCGGGTAGATTTGCGATGCGCTTTTCTAGTATCACACTCTTCCTTAGATCTATATCTAGATCTCTTTTTCTTATACGGGCTATCAGGGTTAGGATAACTATGATATCTATTTTTCTTCTTCTTCTTACTTTTAGTAGAGGTTCGGGGTAAACCGAACTGTTTATAGAAGTCACCTAATTGGGATTTCTCTTTAAGCTTATCAATCATAAGCTGTCTAGAAAGCTTCAGCTCATTACACAAGTTTAATCCTTCTTGTGTACATACTCCTATAAGTTTACCATAGGTATAATTTCTGTACGGATTTTCCCCGTAACTACCTCTTAACGCTTTTCTTACTCTTTCAGCGAATAAGGAGGGAAGGCCGTCTATAAACTTAGCTTTCCAATGTTCATACTTGTTTTCGGGTAGCTCCATAACCCTACTCATAAAAGTATCTTTGTACCATCTAAATTCACTAAGGGTCCTACATCTTTATACCTAATTAGCATTCATCTAGCAAGGTCGAGATTTAGTGGGGATATCATCCTCGGAGAAGTTTTCTTCGTAAGGAAGAGTTACAATATGCCTTTTTCGGTTCAAAAAGGCACTAGTGTGATCGGCGCAAACATCAACAACCATCTGTTCAGCAATCAATTTAATCTTTTGCTGAACCTTAGCAGATTGTAAAGTATCGAATATATTCATGCTCAATATTTCTAATTGTAATGAATCAACATGCCTTTGTTTCATATTAATCAAGGCGTTAATATCTCTAGTTACGGGATCTGTAACAAAAGAACAACTTATCTCTTTATCTTGATAAGTAGCAGAAAAACCTTGTGCATCTATATTATTAAAATGGTTAATAGCATTAATAAAAGGGGTTCCAAGTATAATCGGAGGGTATAACTGATTTTTTACCAAAAAGAAGAAATGAGGAATACAAACTCTATTTTGACAAATACGAGTATTTGGTAATTTATACTCTATATCTAAAGCATGACCAAAATCAGATTTTACCAAATGAGTGGTCTTTTGAAAATATTTAGTA